GCAAACAAGGTCACGAGCCAAACTATTGTTGAGCTATTCATTTAGGATGTTCCCCTTGGTCGGCTGCATTTCTTCAATATGGATTTGCACTTGTATCGCTAATCCATACTGTCTCTGTTTCAACTCAATGTTACAGATATTTCTTCTGCGAAAATCCTGGCCCAGCAGAAAACTATAAGCGAGAACAGCGACCTTCATTTGACCTGCAGCACGTTTGGGAAAAATAAACAGATGCAGGTTACTGTTTATTTATGTAAGGGCGACCTTTGGATTGAGAAAAAGCAACAGAAGCAAGATCAAAATGATTCCACCTTCACCATACACAGAGTGGGTCTTCATCACAGTGGGAACTACAGCTGTGTCTACTCCCAAAGGGGAACTTTGCCTCACAAAGTAACCAAGAAAAGAGAGCCCATTGAGATTGTGGTTATATGTAAGGACTTTTATCCCTATGAAAGCTTCATGTCAACGTTATTTCTCTCCACTCATTTTGTCCTTCCTGTTGCACAGCCAATTTTCTCCCTGCAGATATTTCAGTAGCTGCGCCGTCCGATGTCCACGAGGGAGACGATGTTGCATTCAGGTGTATCGTTTCTGGCCCCCTGCAAACACTCGGTGAATGTCAGCTCATACACTCTTACCTGATGAGAAATGAGACCATCCTCCAAGTGCAAGCATTTCATGTCGCCCGTATGGAGGCAAATTTCACCATTGAAGGTGCCGTGGTGAGGGATTCGGGCAATTACAGCTGTGTGGTGCTGCCATCCAAATGCATCCAAGAGGGCGAGAAAACACTGTATGGAAATAACGCAGTATTAGTCGAGGTCAAAGGTGAGAATGTCAGCTGCTTATGGTAAAAGAAATGGATGTTTGCTTTAGATGGCTCCAATGATAAATAATATATTTTGAAACAGTAAAGTCCATCACGTGTGTTTTTCCTTTCCAGAAAGTTTGATCTTTATGTTGATTGCATCTTTTGGAGTGATAGCCCTGATGATATTACTGGGACTGTGTCTGTGGTGGATCATGAAACAAGGTCAGTACATCAGAAGGAAATCAAAATGCAAATCATTCATTTTTTGCAGTATAAAGCTATCATTGTCTGACCAGCTTAACACAGATCTGTTATTAGTATTCATATATAACTTATATTCTGAACCTCAACATATACAGTAAAAATGCTTTATTTTACTTTAAAACTATTTGTTTTGTTCCTATCTCAGGAGGCTTTGCTTCCAACTCATGGTGAGTGAGAAATCATTTTTCATTTCTATGTTCAGTGGATTGTGCTTGGAGACATTGTTTTAGATGCTTGATGTTTACAGTGAATTCAAGTATACTGAATACACGCCTAAATTCAGCCGCTCATCTGTCATTCTGAGTTGATTAAAGTGTTTGTCCTACAGTGTAGCGGACCAGCAGGCGGACATGACGGAGGAACAGCAGGTGCAGAGAGAGGGAGAGGATCTGGACGCACAATTTGGTAGGTTGAAAATGGACTTACCGTAAAGGCAGACTCTGGAGGGATGGTAATGAAATGATGATGACTTAGACAGAAAACATAATGTAGCTAATTTCTGGTCTCTTTAATGATAAAATGCCCTCCATACTTGTCTTCAAAAACATTTTAAAGATTTTACAAGCATTCTTGTGATCATCACAACTCTTGAAGAAGAGTAGTGGCTTAATTAGTCACAATTAAAAAAACTAATGTATGACTCTTTTTTGTCTTTCTTTTACCCGATTAAATAGACTCTTTCAGCATGGAGCAGGACGAAGAGTAAGAACATAACATATTATTACAAAGGATATTTTACGTGTTATTTTTCGTGGCAAGTAATTATTTATTGTGTCATACTTTAGCGGTTTAGTACCACCATATAACAAATAATGATTTGCAAAATAAACTGACTTTTAAAATAGTTATACTTATATTTTATTTTGTCTGCATTCTTAATACAAAGACTTTGATTTCCCTCAGGTATCAGAACCTAGGAGAGGAGGACTTCACGTACTCTGCTGATCATGAAGGATTGTACAGTGTTGCAGGTCAGAGATAACCTACTTTGAGTTATTACATAAGTAGTTTTGCCTATTAAAGGCAAGGAGATGACTTTGGTTTCTAACATGTAGATGAGGATGATGATGAGTTTGATTACTTTGATCAGATGTGTGCCAACTCACACACTTTTAGGGCTTAAGGTCCTGTCAAATCCTTATTGTGCACTATTCTCATATAGTGCACAGTTGGCAGCGTGAGAAATAAAGTCAAATCCAATTAAATTGGTTCTTATTGCTTGGATTTTTTTGCTTTACAACAAGAACAAGGCAGAACATAAATAATCAAGTTATAATAGTAAAGCTTAGAAGGCAATATGATACTGCATTGTTTTAGATTAGCTATTTTTCTGTAAGTGTCTTTGGCGCATCTTACAGGAAAACCACAAATGAATTTTTAGCAGCGGTGCAGATATGTATAGCATGTTGTGCTCTCTGACTCACTACAGCTGGTTATAAGCGCCATCATTTACCACAGAGCCCGCTATTAACCTGTGAACTTCTTTATCACAGAGGATCCACCTGCAGGACCAGTGTATGCCGTGTCATTCAGAGAGGAAAGAAGAAATCCACATCTCCCCCGATTGAACTGGAACACCAGCCTGTGATGCCCCCCTTTGGTTCAGTCACATTTGAAATGAATGTTAATCTTTAAATTGGATGAAGGAACTCGTTTTTTGAAAGTACAGTGCCTCATAAATGTCTCAATATGAAATTATTTTTTTAATTGATAATCAATAAAGCAGGAGTAGGATACAAATAAATCAAATAAGTGTAAACTTCTTCCCACCCCTTTTCGGATGTGTAATTAGTATCATTTGTTTATACATAACTTAGAATCAGTAATATTTTTGTATATCAATTTGACACTGCTTCATTTTGTATTGTATAATAATTCTCATGTTAAATGTTTGTATTATTGTTTTACACATTCAAAAAATAAATCTAATCAAATTAAATCAAAAACCACATCGATCCTTTCTGTATTTGAGAGGGGTTACATTACCTTTTGTATATATTACACAGGTGAATATTTGAAAAAAGAGTGAGAGCTAGCCAATAGAAGGGCGTGTGTTACATAGTGCTATCATTATGTAAGGGAAGTACACAAAAGAGTCCAATGAAGGCGTTTCACAAAAACCTATTTAACACACTACAGGAAAGGGGTAACCCTCCCCCAAAGCATAATAGGGCCTCTTTAAGTACTTGTGAGAATTGAACCCTTACCCCCAACAGAAGCAGACTTGTGGTGTAAGCACTGAGCTGTTTAGAGGCAGTGCAGAAATGGCAGCAAATAGTATTTTGGCCAGGAAGGATGATTGGATGAAGAAAAGAGAGGAATCCTATAAGGCCCTTCATCACTTTCACACTCTCTATATTGATTGTGATCCAATAAGCTGAGTTAGCTCCAAGGGGACACAAAGGAGGTGGTACAGAGTAATAAACAGAGCCTCTGTGGCCTTCTTGGAATCACTTCAACATCCCACATCTTCTGTTTCCTGTGTCAGAAATACTGGTAGTGTAGAAAAATCCACTGACACAACAGATTTCCAATATAAACCCTTTATCGAACTTTCTTAAAGATTTATTTACAGAAATATGCAGAAGTAACGAGTGTATGTACATTTTTGTTTTGTTTTCACACTTTCAGGGCATTTTAAATATCCAATGTTGTTCCAATGCTATTTTTTAATGTCACCCTTTCCAGGAGGTCATGCTATCCAGATCAAACAGCATGTCATGTCTTAAACACATAAAGTATTACATAAATAAAGTATTAAACCTGGAAAATGGGTGGAATGGGTGACATGTCTCTTTAAAATATTCAGAAACAATCATTTGTAGTAACAAAGAGTTACCACATGATGTCACTGTTTTAACATCCTGGCTTGGTTCTCAGAAACATTGAAATCCAGATGTTATTTTCATCTCCATGAACACATATATTGAATATTTGGTATGGCACTCAAGGTGTAGTTAACATTTAAATAAGAAAATGTTTTAGATTTTCCTATTATGAAAAAACATCCTAAATATTGAGCTTTCTATTTGGATTTTGATAGCATGTGTGATTATGTACATAATTGCGTGCTTTAATTTCAGTCATTTTAACCACTGTAATTATTTACTCTTAAAAATCATTGATTCAGCATGAGTGTGCAATTGGCATTATAGATTACATTTACTTCAGAACTAGTTTGTAAGCATCAAAATGACTAACCACCATCATCGTTGCTCTTTTTTAAACCCTGTCCTCAACATTTAAGTGTCCTTTCAAACCACTTCTTCACACAAAATCACAGTCATCTCATCATCTTGACCTTGGATCCACTCCATATGGTTGGAGCCGTGGTGAGAATATTAAATGTAATGAATACATCAGCAGTGCAGTGTTTGTTTCATCAAAGTGATTTAAATGTCATCCCAAAGTAATAGAGGCTGAAGGAAGAGGCCGGCTGTTCCCATGATGCACACAAGGATAAAAACCCAAAGGAATATCCGGTCAATAACCATGGCAACGTACTTCCAGTCATCCTGCACCTGTGAGAAATGAAACAGTTTCAATGATATGTTGACACTTTAGTAACTTCTTTGAAAGAAAATGCATTTCAACTTTTACAATCTTGACTTCAATTTTTTTTTGCACACTCACCTCCTGTGCTTCGTTCTGCAGTCTCATGTTCTCTGCTATGTATTTGACGCTCTCAAGAGCCTCTCTGACCTCGGGGGACAGCGGCAACACTGACATTACTCCTCCCTCCATAGAGTCGGAGTTGGAGCACTGACTTCCTACTCCGAATGCACCGCCTCCAGTCAGCGCCCCGATGCTGCCAAGCCCCCCGCTCCCCCCCCCTGAGTCTGCCGGCAGCTTGCTGGATCTCCCTTGCCAGCAACAGTTGCAATGGCCCTCGCAGCCCAAGAATGCGGAGCCTGCACCTTTGCCCAGGGTGCCACTTAAGTTATTGAGGTTGGAACGCTCGGTGTTGTTGAAAAGCCGTTGGCGGTTTGTCAGGCTGGACACCGCGCTGGAGGCCAGAGCCTGATGTTTGTGCTGCCTCAGCAAACCACCTGACGAATGAATGGCACAGGGCCTTGAAAGAGGCGGCCGAACACTGTTTGTCGTCGCCACCCTCTCAGGGTCCCTCTCTGGCCTCCTCATGAACATCACCCTGGGCAGCATTCCCAGGAACACTGTCCGCACCCAGCAGGGCATAGTGTGGGTCTTTGGTGTGCGGTAATGGACGTTCAACACAAACACGGTGATGACAATAGACAGGGTGACAAAGATCATGGTGAAGAGGAGGTACTCGCCAATCAGGGGGATGACCAGCGAGGTGGAGGGGATGGTCTCTGTGATGACGAGGAGGAAGACAGTTAAAGACAGCAGGACGGAGATGCACAGAGTGATTTTCTCTCCGCAGTCAGACGGCAAGTAAAAGACAAGCACGGTGAGGAAGGAGATGAGGAGGCAGGGGATGATCATGTTGACTGTGTAGAAGAGGGGCAGACGGCGGATGTACAGAGAGTAAGTGATATCCGTGTAGATTTCCTCGCAGCAGTTGTATTTAATGTCATGTTTGTAACCAGGGGCGTCGATGATTGTCCACTCGCCGCTCTCCCAGAAGTCCTTGAGGTTGATGGTTGAGCCAATCAGCACAAGATCGATCTTTGCCTTGTCGTACGTCCAGGAGCCGAACTTCATGGTGCAGTTTTGGTAGTCGAAGGGGAAGTAGGTCACGTCTATCTTGCAGGAGCTCTTGAATATGGCTGGTGGGATCCAGGTAACATCACCATTGAAGCGAAGCAGGGCCTTTGTTTTGTCATCAACCTGGAAATCTCCAACTGCACTGTTGAGAGAGAAAAAGGTAATCTAGATTAAACTGAAGGATATAATCGATTCCCTATTAGAGATATTAAAACAAATAACCGGTGTGGTTTCATTTAATCACAGCCGAAGATGTTTCTCATTCCCCTTTGAGGACATGCAACACAAAATGATACAAAAAACAACAACATTATTGGTTGTCAATGCACGACAATCCTTAATCTCAATTCACTCAACAATCAATGGTGATGTGGAGTTTTTAACTCTCACTTGTTGTAGAGGACAATGTCTGGTTTCCATATTCTGTTGGACGGCACTCGAATAAACTCCACGCCTCCAAAATCTTTAGGAAGCCACCTCAGTTTGTAGTCGTTCCAGATCTGAAAAGCAAAACAGAATAATTAGATCAAACGAAAAGCAAATCAAAGAAATTACAATGTCAGACGGATATTGGACAAAATAAAGAATGATATAAAAGATTCGACACTGATGAAAGTTGGTCTTCCCAGAAATAGCTTTTGAGAATTATCACTCAAAAACAAATCAACCTCACGGTGGCGCTAGACAAACAGTGGTGTTGACTGCAGGCTTGTTTTGGGCAAGAGGATTCTTTCTACTGAGGTGTTCAGTAAAATAGTTTGTTGTAAACAGCTTTAAAAACTATAAAACTAATGTTAAAGTGGTGATTAGCTTTTACTCTACAAATCTATTCAGACAGATTTCAAACGCATTGTCTTTTAAAAACTCAAACTGTGGGATAAATACAGAGCTTAAACTGTATTCAGACATAATGGACCACCGTTTACAGTGTGTTTTATGGAGTTGCCACTGTTTTTGACCCTCTGTTGAGGTCAGCCAGGAATCCTTATGGGACTCATAAAGCAACAATAGAAAAGCAACCTCAGAGGGCTGTATAGAGCGCCACAGTGACGCGTCCTAAAACCCGGAAGTAAACTCCTTCCGGTTCCTTCGACAAAAACCAATGCAATTTCTCCATAGGAGTTTGGGAAATAGCTCGAAATAAGGTCTGTGGTTGACACAAGTTGAAGGGACAGATCACGTTTTGTTCAGCCGGATAATATCCACATACCCTACTTTTATAATTTGTCTCTTCAATTTGTGTCAACCTCTCTCTCTCTAGGTCGTCCTCAGACGAGCCCTCCATCGTCGCTTCCAGTCATCCCGGTTCTCCATACATCTGGCCAGTTCATTGGTACTTTGTGCTCCCGCGTCGTTCTTGAGTACGTCCACGTATGTTTCTGCGGGACGTCCTCGTGACCGATGCCCGTGTGTTGGTTCCCACAGCACCAATTTGCCGGCTGGCAGCTCTTGATGCCTTTGGCAATGTCCTGCTAGTCTCATTCTCCTGGCTGCAATTTTCTCGCTCACCCTTGGTATTCCCTCGTACAGGATGTTGTTGGTTAAATGTACACTCTTGCTGATGTTAAGTACTGCTCGCAACATTCTGGTGTAGCATCCGTCTAGAGACTTTTGCAGGGTTGGCTTCAGGGTCCAGCATTCACTGCCATAGAGGAGAACAGACTCTACNGCTACGTGAGGCTGGGCCACTCGGGAGTTGGTTCTGGGCCGCATCTGGCCCGCGGGACGCCAGTTGAATAGGCCTGCCCTATAGGATAGCCATAGCACCCCCTAAGCACCCCCAAGAAATGTATGTATTTTTTGTGAAATTCATAATTTGAAAAATGATTGATTCGAAAATGATATGCTACAGTACAAGTACGTCTAGGTCTCTGTGT